ACAAGAGGGATCAGGAAAGTAAAGGAGGTGGCTTCATACTACCTCTAACAGCCCCAAGTAAACCAACCAAATGGATTTTTAGACTGAAATAGTATGGTGTTGAAGATCCAGCATCCACACTGTACACATTGCAGGTGCTTCACTTTGAACCAACTCTAATCTGATCTCATGGTCTGCATATTTTAGTAATGGAGAACATTAGGTGCTTTTCTGGGGCACATCTTCTGGTTTTATCTTCACCCCAAAAATTCACTCTATGCTCTTGAAGACGACTCCTTGATATGAACTGATGAACAGTACGTTAGGACCATGATGAAATTTGCTTCAAAAAACATACTCCTTATCCAACTGAAATGCTAAAGTATTGGCGCTCTATCCCTCCCTACACACAGTCTTCCTGCCAAACCAGTCTCAATTCTCTCTTCTGGCTCTACATACAGTTGATCTTTCCCCTTCCTCCCCAAGTGTTTCTGACTCCATCTCCCACACCACATTCTGTATCTAATCTCAGTCTTCCACTCTTCCTCTTTTTCCTTGACCTAATGTATCTGTACAGCCAGTCTTAGGTACTCCTCCCACCTTCTCACATCTCTCTCTCCTTCACTGCATGAACTAACATCAAATTTTTCTGTTCAGCTAGTCTCATCTTGCCTTTCCCTCTCCTCATGTGATTTCATCACTCCCAGTCATAAACCTGAAGCTCAGGAGAGTCAGAAGCTCTCCACAAAAATCTCTTCTGGAATGCCTGAATGTGAGGCAGGAGGCATCATAGAGTTCATCCCATGGTACCCATTCTACACTGCAGCAAAGTAGAAAGCAAGAGCAACCTCAAGGACAGTTTTTGATAGCTTAGCTCTGGAAGAGCAACATGTTAATTTATTCTAAGGAGATTGCACACATGTTCTGTTTGCAGTTAGGACATGTAACAAGCTAAAGCACACTAAAAAGGACAAGTTTTCAGAAATGTCAGCTGTTAACATCCAAGAAGCCTCTACAGAGCCTGAAGGAAAAGAGTTGGGGTTTTTTTGAAGGGTTGTAGTAAAATATGTGTTGCTGTTCACAGATATTGCAAAAGACTTGTCCATGACCAGAAGACCATAGCCTGCCAAATTTCAAATCCCTGATCCGTGATCAAGTCCAACAATGGGGGATGTTAAGACATATTAAAGAAAAGGTTTCAGGAATGTTTTGACAGTGGGAAACAACATGTTTTTCTCTGCTGTGTCCTTGGAATATGCTGAGTTGTTTTGGCTGAATTTTCTCCCAAACATTCAGCACCTGGCATGGAAAGTTTCTGACCCAACTGTTGAATTTTGGCAAAAAACATTCGTATAAAGGGAAGTATCAGGCCACCTTGACAATGGGGGTTACTAGGTCCATGTATATTGTTTTCAAAGCGGGAAAAAGATGCAAGGTAGAAAGTTGTAACAAAACTGAGCCAGCTGATGATACTACACAGGGAGACTTGCAGAAGGCCTCTGTTTAGATAAATGACCAAAGTGAAATTAGATTTTTGGTTAAGTGTGCTTGGGGAGGATGACATACAAACCACGTGACAATAAGTGACCAATGGTAAATTACACAAGCGCCATAGGAAATAAAACATATGGCAAGAAGGAATTCAAACAGTTACAAAGCTTAGGACATCAAAACCTTTTATATGAAGCTTTTAGCAAAAGGTAAAACTTGCATGTATCAAACAGTTTGAAAATCAATATGATCAGATTAGGACAAGTCTGTGCCTTCAATTTTGCTTCCTGCTAATTTCAGAACCAGTATCTTTTCTTATTTCTTGGTATCAGAACCAGAACACTCTCCTACCATTTCTCGCCAATAATGGTGCAGGACACAGATATCGGGGCCCAATCCTACAATTTTTCCATGTGCACAAAGTGCAGTGGAGTTAATGGGAGTTCCATGCATATAGCAGTAGAAACATCAGGCCCATGATATCTCATTTCCCAATGGGATGGTACATTTTACAACCTATTACACTTTTTGTTTGAATATCATTAGTCAAACCTTTAATCATTTTACCAGAATGTTAGAATCTGGCTTGCTGGCAGAAGTCTACTCACTTTGTCTTTCAAAGGCAATTAAGTGTTAGTGGAAAAAATAAAGAACCTTTGAAATGACAGTTCGTTTCATATTTGCAAAACAGTAAGCTTTCTTTCAGTGCTGTTTAGCTTTCTGATCAAAGGCATTCATTTTATGTAAAAACATATAAAAAATAATAAAACAAAGTGAGTCCTTTATGAGAAATCATAATGCTATCATAATGCTGAAATAATTTGCTATCAATGCCTAAATTTCTTTTTTTAAAATAAGGACCAAGATAATGAGGCACTTTTCCCTTATGTCCCCCCCGCTCCCTTTTTTTTTCATAATAAAATCTTTGGCTCTTGCTTTTCTTCCAATTCTTTAATTTGCCTCATTGCTCAATAAAATTTACATCCTGTTCACAACCTTACAAGCTCCCTCTTAAATACATGTCTGTCATGTGTCAATATTTCACTTCTCAACACTAGTTCTGAAAGCTTCCAAATGACTATCTAGAAGATACTGCGTCTCCCTTCACTGATATATTAGCACTAAGAAAGCATGGCTTTATTTCCACTTTTCATTCACACAAAGGATGATTATATGGAACTGCTTCCATAGTGTTGAACAACTTGACCCAAAAAAGATTTTGGTACTGTCACAGTACCAACAAAATAATCAAAAGTTCTGATTTCAGTAGCATGTGTACAGTTTTGCTTATGTGAACGGTATTTCATTCATATAATCTAGCCTACTGCAGTGCAAGATAAAACCAAAACTTGACATAACTGACATCTTTCCCCTGAATAGTCTTTCTTCACCTTTAATTTTAAAGCACTCTTCAAGAGTCACTGAATTATGACAGAGGAAACAATGAACCACAGGTATTCTTCATAACCTGGCCAAGGCAATGGGAGACCTTCCACCAAGTGATGTCAGCTGCAGTCAGCTCTTACCTGTGCCAGAATACCACAAGTAAAATTAATATTTTCTATCTCAAAATGACAGTTTCAAAACAAGATCCCTGTTACTACTTTGTTTTTACTGTACACATACTAAGCAGCAATGAAGTGTGGAACTTTTTATTTCATGTATCATGAACCATCCAACAAGTTTAGTTTGGGTTGCCTTAGAACTAGCTAGGGTGTCCCCAAGAATTGTCCTTCTCCAGGAGAATCTCTGTTGCTGTAAAACTAGAATAAACAATGCAATTCCTTTCTGTTCCAGCTGACCTCCACATCTGAAAGGGGAAGAGCTATTTTGTGTATATATATCCCTATATGTATCTCTAGTTATATATAGACACACAAACCAAATACAACTTGGTAACACTACAAAAATATTATCCAATCTTTACTGCTTCACAAGTGCTTGCTCCATGCTGACCAGAAGCTCTGAGTATTTGATATGACAAAGTGAAAAAAAAGTGGCCCTCCATGAAAATTCTTTTTCAGTTCGTTGTAAACATTCAAGGCATTTGCTCAGTGTTTCAGGACAAAAACTTTATGAATTGCTGAACTACATTCTCCCATCCGTGAAAAAGGCCTCTAGCAAAGGCAAGGCAAAGGCTGACACTGATAGCCCATCCGGTACATAAAAAAGGCTCTTTGGCTTGTGCAAAATAATTCTGTGACTTCAACAGATGCTGCCACAAAAATATTCACTTTTTAATTTAGATTGTCTTTGTTATACATGTGTTGAGTTACAGAAATTATGCACCTGCAGTGTAAGATAGCCGAAGGTGAAACCTTGTAGACCAATACAAGGAATCACACTGCAAGGTAACAAGCGTTAAGATAGCATACACTGCACTTCAAGTTACATCCCCATAGAAGCATACTGCAAGCAGGGGCATTTAAAAATTCCCATGGAAATATTTACATGTACTGCAATAAGAATTAAGCATGATTCAGCATACAACAGCTCTTTCAAAATCATTTGCAGGCTGAACTACAACAGTACCAAAATATAAGCAGCTGCCAAAGGCAGGTTGTTTCATCCATTTAAAAAAAATACCTTCTTGCATTTGAACTTTGAGTATTGACTTTAAGAGCACCAGATCATCACCCTCGCATCTTGTGGCTCTGCAGGAAGATAACGAACCCCAAAGGCTCCATGTCCATGTGTCAAATGCAATTGTGAGTTCAGAAACAGACAAAATAGATGTGAGGCAACTACCTCACACGATAAACACATGGGACATGCTATGAGGTTACAGGGAGCATCGCCTGTGAGGGTGGAAAGCACAAGTGTCAGAGGCAAGCCTCTATGTGACAAACCTTGTCTGGATATCAAAATAGCCAGATTCTTAAGACTCCAGTAAAGGGTCTAATTCTGATACCCCTCCTCTCTTATGTTTTCAATACTACTGAGACCTACAGAGTTACTCACAGTAAGATGCTAATTATTTTGAGAAAGAATGGCAAAATTTGAGCAAAACACACAAAAAGACGAAAGCATTATTCCCTTTCCCCTTGTGCTTTTTGTACCATAGAAGTAGCTAGCTTGCCTCTGAAGTTCAACTGTCTTTAGACACTTAGGAAAAAAAAAAAAGGCAAAGTTAAGTTGAAAACCAGGTACTTTCAATCATGGGCCACAATTTCCATAAAACCATCTAAAAGATGTTTCCATGATTTAAAAACATTGCTGCAGCATCACACATATTGCAACATGAGGATACCCTCTAAAATAAGATGTGCATCTTGATGGTTATTCCTGATATAATGAATTGAGTAGCTCTATAAAAAAAAAAACATATCTCAAATTCTTTCCTAGCTATACCCTAATGCGTGGTATCCCTCGTGGAATTTCAATAGACTAATCTAGCACAGACTTCAGAATAAGTAGCTTTGGAAAACTGCAAACAAGTATATAGTTAAAAGGTCAACACTCTGTATGTTAATATACAAGCAGCAAACATAGTCAAGGATAAATTATCACAGGATCAATTTGCAACCTACTTTTTTCTGGTGAGACATGTGCCTTAGCTTGTCCCCTCACAAGCCTGCATGTTGAACCATCTCCTGCACAGATTCCACAGTTGTCTTCCTTGGCATTGCTCCCAAGTTGTCGATCACAGCCTACTGCCTGCCAACATCAACACCACAGTCAGAAGGAGGGCAAAGCTGTAGTAGACATGCTCAGGTTTCTGGAATTTTATTTATTATGTTATCCTTTTGATTTTATGAGCTGGCCTCATTCTATCAAAGCATATCTTGCTATTTAGGATTTTAAAAGCACACTGTCATTTCCATGATTTTAATGATGAACCACAACAACTGATATATTAAGCTACTCAAGCATAGGAAATGCATGAATCAATTTCCCCCTACTTACGTGAATGAATACCATTGAGCATTATTCTTTCCAAGACAACGGACAACTATGTTATTTACAATTTGGTTTTCATCACCTGTTTAATTATGTCTGAAAAAGGATTAATGCAATGAAATAACTCAAGTTAAATATTTACAGGGCACTCAGCCTTCAGCTTCACAGACAAGCAGCTGCGGGCAGTGCTCATAATCTAATGTCTTTGCTGTCCAAAATTTAACTAGCGTTTGTGTAGATCTCCTACTTACCATTCGTATCAATGTCAATCACATACACATTTGCTAACCAGGTTTTAAAAAGCTTGGATGATTCAATTCTCACCTTTCCTTTTTTTTTTTCCTGAATATGAGACCCAATCTATAAAACTTTCCAATGATTATTATAAAAACACCCAAACTTAAACACTGCCAAAAATTCCAAAAGCAAAGTGTTTTAAAAACCATCAACTGAAAACTCTCCAAACTATAATGAAAACATTTTTCTGGGTTTTGCTTTTTCTTCATATCAGTCACCCTACAAGAAACATGGCAGTGAGAATGGGAAGACAAAGAAGAATAGACAACATTGACTAAAATCACCTTCCTGCTGGAAGGGAGATAAATATTTGGTGTCACCTATCTTACCCTTCACCATTCTGTAGAAGAAATTTGCAGGGTGTAACAAATGCTGAGCAATGTGTTAAAAAGCTAATCTGCAGCTTCAAGTTTTCTCAAGTCAGCCTACACGCCTCTTATATCCACACATCCCTGAGAAGTGCAGGCAATTTGTCACGGACATATATATATATTTAACTGACAAATGGATAGAAAGCACTCTGGAAATTCACAGTTAAAAGCAGTGCTAGAATTCTGAAATTGGCCAGCATACTCCTCTTCCTATATAAAAATGCTTGGAAAGGGCAGTCTTAGCCGCCAAAATCCACTGCATCTGCGCTATGCCAAAACTGACACGCGATCCCCTTGGAGAGGTAAGGATCGAGTCCGCACGTAAGAGGCAGGGTTGGGTCTTCCAGCCTGAGTTAACACATACACAGGACACAAATCACACACATCTGCTGCCAAACATGGAGCAATGTAGTCTCTAAGTTTCATGCATCTCTAAGAAAAGGCAGCCCCAACTCCCACTCCTGCCCCTTTCCCTTATTTTCCTAATTGCTTCCCTCCTGCACTCTCTTAAGAAGAGGGCATTACAGAGGACAGTCAATTGCATTAATTATGGTGGTACTTCACTTGAGAGCGATGCACTGGTATCAGTGCACTGAATGGCATCTCCTTACCAAAGGGTTCAGATTTACTGTAGAAAACTACATTAGCAGCAGGAAATTTTTTTATTCCCACAGCTGAAGGAGATCTTCGACCTGTGTAGCCCAGCAAAGAATCCACTTTAAAAAGAAATAAGCAGCTTAATTGAAATGATTTATTGTTTATGTTAAGTGTTAGTAAAAGCTCAGTTGTAAAAATGAAACAACACACTTTTGTGGCAAATCAGACCATCTCAGAACAGGTACTTACTTACTACACAAGCCATGCACACATACAGAATTCCAGTATTATAGTTTAGGATTGGATTAAAGATTACAATATTTTTGCTTAAAGATATTTTTTCACTTTTGCTCTGGGTTCATCACTGACATGCCCAGAAAATAACAAAAAGAAAAAGACCGTAAACAAATTACTCTAAGCTCATCTTCCCTTTTTGTCACCAATTAGCATCGAGAAATGAATGAAAACACCACAGTTTCAGAAACAGAAGCTGATTGGGCCACTGTGTGAATCAGAAAGCAGATAAAATTTCAAAGGATACAATAATTTGGTGCTTGACTCATTGGCATTAGACTTGACAGCTCTCTCAATTCCAAGATCCACAAGTGACTTTCTTGTTGACCTTTGAAAACTTCCTTTGCTTTTTGATTACAATCTGCGAAAGGGGTATAACTGCAATTCCCCACCTCACAGGGATGTTGCAAGAATAGATCTCCTAAGAGTTCTGAAGCGTTCAGGTGGTGCAATGAAGAGAACCATACAGCAGTTGAGCGAGTCTATACTCCTCTTAGGGAGACTTTTGACGTATTTGTTGCTCCCTGCTGCTTCTCCTGTGTTTATTCACATAAAGATACTACTAGTACATGGAGGTAAATTGTTAGAACTACTGCACGTGTAATCTCTCCCCAGATCTCACAAACACATTTCCATTTCAAAGTGTAATCTCATTTTCCAAATATTAAAAATATGTTTATTCTCTCACCAATTACTTCTCAAAGGAAAAATTAAGCTGCACATCGTGATACTCTGTGTGAGACATTTCTATTTTTATTAGTTTAAGCTGTTGTATATTTGTAAGCTACAGATCCTGCAAGCCTTTGGTGGGAGGAGGGTATTGAGCAAGCTGAGTACTTGCAAGACCATCCCATTAAAGCCCAACATGATAATAATAAACATACATACCGAGCTATTACACACAGTCCCTAGGAAAACAAACTCTCATTGCATGTAACAAAAATTATACAACCGTGCAAACACAAAGCACTATTGTGTCCAACATGGAATATAAGGAAAAAGACAATCAGCACAGCAGCATACTTTAGAGGACTGTTTCATATAGTATTATTGCTTATTGTTTAATAATGCACAAATGCCACAGAAATAAAACAGGAGTACTAGCTGCAAGGGACTTGGATGTGGGAAAAGCTTTTCGGCTCCCCTGCCAGCAAAGGTGGTGTGTTCAGCTAGATGCACTCACCCTCTGTGGATTTCCTTCTGAGGTTATGTTTATATCAACTGTTATGAATACGAGTATCAAGCAATGATATCCCGGAACATAAATTAGAAAACAACTCAAATTAGTATCGCAATTTATGCCTGGAGTGACACAGAATTTCAGATTTTGTTTAACATGAAGCACCCAAAAATTCTGCAGATTTTAATCTGACAAGCCTCAAATTCAGAGCTAATTTGCTACCCTGGGATCTTCATGAATGAACACTAGGGTGGGGTGTATGTCAAACCTGAGTGTCTAGAGTTAGCCTTTGTCGTGGTTGTAAAACCTTGCTAGGAAGCAGTACTTCTCAGACAAGCTGGACAGCCATGGACCTTACCAAAATAACAAGAAGCTGCAAGGTGTAGCTTTGGGTCAGGCCTCAAACACGTATGGTATTTTGACACCAAACATTATGAATTTAAGGTATTCATATTTTAGACAACAACTCTTAGAAAAACACCGTGGTTGATGAAACATTTTGAAGAGAGCGCATGTGTATTTGCAAGCAAAGCTGCAACGAGAACAGGATCATGATACATAGCAAGAGCCTTCCTCAGCTCGCACACCGTTTCAGCCAGCCGGAGAGGCCTGAGGAGTTTCACAAGCAAGACATTTGTTAGGGTTAATTTACCCCGCTGTTTACAGAGCAAAGGGATCAGCTATAAATATTACACACAGATTGGGAAAACATCTGCAGTCTTTTAGGGCATATTCAGAAATAATTATATTAGGTGAGTTTAACATAGGCTGCATAAATGAAAAGTGATAATACAAACTGTGTAACTGAAGGATTGGGACCTTGTCAAGTTAAGAAATCTGCAATCATAAATACCATCATTCAAAAAAATGGTGCAAGTATTGTAATGACTAGGCTGTAAGCGAGCTCCTCCGACAGCAGGGAGAATATTGACCAATGCGCAACAAAATGAACAATAAGTGGAAATTTGATATAAAAAGGGTATTGAGGAAACGGGTACTTTGTGCATTTAATAAATTGGCCGTGATGGGGTATCTGTGAATTTGGACATGGTAGGATTATTTTCACAAACAGATGTGTTATCCATGACTATTTTAGGACAGAACCTGAATATGTTATTTAGCTGTGCTCTTCCAAAGAAAAAAATAGAAACGCAGAAAAGAATACTACTGTTTTGTCACAAGCAGCTAGGACAGAAAGCATCTGAATAAGCAGTGAACAGAAACACTCATCTGCTTCAACAAACTTCTAAACTAGACGTTAGTATGCCAATGCTATTGTTAAAGACAATACTGAAGGGTGTTAAATATTTTGTAGCACGCTTAGGATAGTTTGTGTAAGTTCAGAAAGGCAAAGGAAGAGCAAAAGGTCAGGGTATAAAATATAGTAATACAGATGAAAGAAAAATGGAATTGCTGCTGATATGTTAGAGGTGACTATGGAACGTTACAAATATTTTTGCAAATACGAATCCAAAAATCACTCAGAGGCTCCCACAGCTGTTTCTTTAGCTCTTATTCACTTAGTAGGGTTTCAGCTGAGGAATTAGACTTAAAAAAAGTAATATACATGTTAATGTTGATTTGTGAAGGTCAAAGTATAATCTCTTAAATTCACAGATCTTCCTTTCTTAGGATATTTATAATTAACTACGATAAGAAAATGGACAGGACTGCAAGGTGACAGATTTTTAACTAAGATTCCAATAGGGCAAAAAAAGCACTGTAGTGAAAAAACCTGGCAAATCCCAAACCCTCTTCAGAGCCTTCTCTTAATAAACGTAAATACAAACATGGACTAGAATTGCCAATGCAGAGCCGAATGCAGGATCCAGATTTGAAATTTCAACTTTTGCTCGTTAGATCATTGCGTTAAACGTCCTTAACTTTTATTCCCTCAACCGACCACTCACCTCCAGCCGCAGGCACTCTTTCAGAGCAGGCACAAGACCATTCTTTGTAGAACACATTCCACAGAGGTGAGTTGTCAGTTACAAAAATGTTATATGTCAATTAT